AGGTAATGGGAAAGAAGGTCAGACAGATAAACAGGGAGTGAGAGAGATAAGAGAAAAGCATCAAGTGTTTAAGTTTTTGCCTTTTTTTTGCACTTACAAGAAAAAAAGAGCAAAAGAGAAGAGAGAGGCAAGATGGGAGAGAGCAACAAGAAGAAAGATGATAACACAAAAAAAAAAAAAAAAAAAGACAAAAATACAAGAGACAAATATATATATACAAGAATGAGTAAAAATGAGAAAATCAAACCGACAGACATTACAAATCAAATCTTAATCCAGTGCTAGACATTCCTAGGCTCGAACCAACCTGCAAATGTTCCTCAATGTCCCTGCGGTCATAGGTGATGCCACTCGGGGTCACCACCGGCTCTCTCAGGATCTCAAAACTGATCTTGCCACAGAGGTAGTCTGGCACTTCTCTTTTCTAGGGTGTGGGAGAAAATTGATAAGAATATTTAAATAACAGCTCTCCTTGCATTAAGGACTAAATATATTCTCTGTAAAAGAATCAATTTATTAAGTACTAATAAAGTGAAAACAGAAATTTTAGTCTATGATTTGGCATGCTGAGTGATATCAAATCAGTGTCTTGTACATATACAAAATGTCTTGACTTAATCAGTAGTTAATTCCATTATATGAATCAAGACCAAAATAATTATGTCTAATGTATTCTGTAACAAAATACAAGGGAAAAAATAATAATAATAACAACAGTAGTAATGATAATAATAATAATATAAATAATAATAATAATAATAATAATAATAATAATAATAATAATAATAATAATAACAATAATAATAATAATAATAATAATAATAATAATAATAATAACAATAAAAGATAATAAAAAAATGTCTAATGTATTCTGTAACAAAATACAAGGGAAAAAAAAAAAATAATAACAACAGTAGTAATGATAATAATAATAATAATAATAATAATAATAATAATAATAATAATAATAATAATAATAATAATAATAATAATAATAATAATAACAATAATAATAATAATAATAATAATAACAATAATAATAATAATAATAATAATAATAATAACAATAATAATAATAACAATAAAAGATAATAAAAAAATGTCTAATGTATTCTGTAACAAAATACAAGGGAAAAAAAAAAAAATAACAACAGTAGTAATGATAATAATAATAATAATAATAATAATAATAATAATAATAATAATAATAATAATAATAATAATAATAATAATAATAACAATAATAATAATAATAATAATAATAATAATAATAATAATAATAATAATAATAATAATAACAATAATAATAATAACAATAAAAGATAATAAAAAAAAAAAAAAAAATTATATACATATATATACATATGTATACATATGTATACATATATATACATATATACTCATTTTTATAAAAAAAAAAAGAGCAATAATATACATTTACATACTTATACATTTTTCTTCATGTACTAAATGCAATAGCATTTAGTACATGAAGAAAATAAAAAATAATGAAAAAAGTAAAAATAGATGAATACAAGTAAATACACCACTTACTCTTCTTCTCTCATCCAGTTTGGCAAACATGGTATTTACTTCTGTGATGTGGTTGTCCTGAAAGAGGAAAAGAAAGGAAAATGTGGTACAAAATCAATCTTATAAAATGTATATTACTATACTGAACAAAATATGTATGCAAAAAAATCTTGACGATAGAAAGAAATATATATGAAAAAAGGAATTTATACAGACATATATATATGCGTGTGTGTGTGTGTGTGTGTGTGTGTATATATATATATATATATATATATATGTACATATATATATATATATATATATATATATATATATATATATATATATATATATATATACATAACAGACAGACACACACACACACACAGACACACAGACACAGACACAGACACAGACACACACACACACACACACACACACACACACACACACACACACACACACACACACACACACACACACACACACACACACACACACACACACACACACACGCACACACACACACGCACACACAAACACACAAACACACAAACACACAAACACACAAACACACAAACACACAAACACACAAACACACAAACACACAAAAAAACACACAAACACACAAACACACAAACACACAAACACACAAAAAACACACACACACACACACACACACACACACACACACACACACACACACACACACACACACACACACACACACACACACACACACACACAGATAGCACATAAAAAAAAAAAAAAGAGAATGAGAGAAAAGAAAGAAAGAAAGCTTGCACTGACCGTCTGTTGTTCTATCCTCATGATTTCCTCCTGGGCTTTCTCCTCATCTCCCTCGTACTTCCTGTGAACCTCCTCTAAGCGCCGGTCTCGGTCCTCTAACACTAATCTATTCAGGTAAGTCTAGTAAAAAGAGGTAAATTAGTGTATGCTGAGATAAATGAAATAACTAATGGAATGGGAAAATACTGTCCTACTGAAGGTCAGTATGATAAATATATAAATTTCCCCTATACACCAGGTGTTATCAATCACGGCACATGCTACTCTTGACCCAATCTGCCTGGATTTATCAATTCTGGGTGAGAGTAATGTATCTCAGCACCTTCACTCAACATCTGCCACTTCTCAACCTGTGACACACAGTGATACCAGATCAAGAGCATACTATCCTAGATAACTTGTTTATATGATTCAGTCTAGTTATTTTGGACTTTTGGTAGGTATGCCTTTGAGAAAAATTCAGTGATTATGCATGCCTGTTCAGACAAGTGATTATGGCCAGGCCAGGTCACTATACCAAAACAAACTCAAACAGGGGATAACTGATGGAACAGAAAATGCTAATTTATTCCGGGTATGTCTAGTTAACCCAATGCCATACATGCCATGCCCACTGTGAGTTTACTTGTTTAATTGTATTTACACACAGATGGCTGCACTTGTACTAAGTCACAAATTAGCCAATTAGGAGTACTGCCTGTCTTGCCCGTTTACCCCTTTTCCTTTAATTACGAAAATATTTTACATCATTATTTTGCTTTACTAATGTTTATAACATTATAATAAGTATAATATTCATAATAAAAATAACACAATCAATACTCATAGCATCAATAAGAAATGAGTCTTTCCGCCAATTCAAGGAAAGGTGAAATCAGGTAAGGTCAAAAGGTCTATTAATTGATTCCTTCGTGGCTAAGCACTAACAGAGCCATCTATGTAAAAAATGAGCACTGCATTTTCCCCATTTTTTATTCATTTCCCTTGGCAGCATTAGGTTAAAAGGATAATAATGGTGTTGATTATATCCAGCTATATAAAAATCAACCCAATGCCACCAGGGGTAGCATGTATGTATATGCCAATGCCCACTGGGAATTTAATTTATATTTTTTTTTATAACATATAGGTGGCTCCACAAGTACAAAGTCACCAATAAGCCAACTGCATTGACTACCATCAATATTGACAGCATTAGTTAAAAAAAACATTTTTCCCATGAACTCAAGGAAAGGTGAAATCAGGCGAGGTCACAAGGTCAACTAATGAACTAGCAGAGCCATCTAAGTGCAAACACATTTCACAAAACAATACTACAATGAATATGTTTTCCTGGAGATAGTAGGTTAATTGTAGAAATTGAAAGTCTAGTATTCATTTTTTTCTTTACTCTGAGCAGAAACACTAGAATGGTCTTCATGAAAGATTTTGATAAATTGAAGGACTGTTCTAAAATAGTCTTTGACTCAGAAACTCTCATAGACTTAGGCAAAAGACTTTCCTAAGTGATTTCATCTCAAACTGTGCCATATTTCAAAGTTAACACTTAACTAAAACTAATCTTTACACATGAAATGCCTCAGTCATTGTCTAACAATAAATTAAAAAATGGCATGCAAGTATTTCATATTGGATTTATGTTAAACAAACGTATAATCTCATTACTGCTTTCTACATCTCATACAATTTAAATACAGTCCTTATGAATAGGCAAAAATAATTATTTAAGTTACAGAGAAAATTGTGGAGACAGAGACTTTTTTTTCCATTTTTCCCATCTTGGACCTTTAATGAAGACCACCCCTGTAATAATTTGAATTAAAAAATAAATACATTAATGCCCAAAATGCAAAACACAGAAATAGTCATTAAGAGAAAAAGATGATAAAGAAGAAGAAAAAAAAAACATTAAAAATATTCAAATCATAAAAATCTATTAAACCAACCCATCACCATACTGTTCCAGATAATTTGCTTATTATGCCTAGTCAGGTAAGGGGGACACACTACCATCCTTAAAATTGGTAAATGCTAATATATTCATCCAAGATATGTATAAAATCATTATTATTATTATTATTACAATTATAATAATAACTGTAATGATGAAAATTATTATCATAATGATAATAATAAAAATATTCATAACAATAACAAGTCACAATAATACAATAACAATAACAATAACAATAATAATAATAATAATAATAATAATAATAATAATAATAATAATAATAATAATAATAATGATAGTAATAATAATAGTAATAGTAATAGTAACAGTAATAGTAATAATAATAACAATAATAATAATAATAATAATAATAATAATGATAATAATAATAATAATAATAATAATAATAATAATAATAATAATAAATATCATCATTATTATTATTATTACTACTATCATCATCATCATTATCCTCTTCATTATCATTAGTGTTACTTTATCCTTTATCCATTATCCTTCCAATCACACTTGCAGAGCAATCATCCCCTTCAGACGCTTGTAACATTTTTAAAAGTACTTTAGCCCTTCTTCACAAACCTGTAGTTCAATTTCTTGTGTGATTCTCTTCTCTTCAGATACGTTGAACCTCCTCTTGCGAGCTACACGAATCATGCATGCGATGTCATCCCCATAGTTAACTTTTTGTTCCTTGGCCAAATCCTGGGCTGTGGAGGATATCAATTCAGTATAATGTGTCAAATGCATTAAAATTTTGAAATCTATGAATTCAAAAGTATCTACAGGTCTTGAACAAATAATGATGATGAAAATAACAAATTTTTCGTAATTATGTATATGATATTTTTGGGGAACAACACTTCAATTAAAATCAATCTTATAAAAAACTTTATTCCCTATGCAAAAGTAATTGATGAAGTAAATGCCAATGAGGAATATAAATAATAATCAACTTTCATAAATGCAGATACATAGGATAAAATACCTTTATACATTGCATAGTGAACTTTCAACCAAATGAAGCAGAGGAAATTGACAAATGACACCCAAATGACACCACATGTCACCCAAATGACACCACATAACAAAACCTCACCCCTCTGAAGGTGTGTGATGCTATCATCAAAGTTATCTGTCTCAAGGAGAGCCTGGCCTAGGAAGAAGTGTGCCTTGACGAGCGTGGCATCAATCTCCAGGGCCATACGGCAGTCTTGCATCACCAGGTCCCACCTCTTCAGCTTCAGGTTACATAGTGCACGGTTTGTGTAGTAAACAGCAACTGAGGGCTTCTTTGTCTGTGTGGATAGGAAAAGAAAAATAATGATATGGGGAGATATTTGAAATTTTGGGGAAGCAGGTTGGAGAGGGGAGGGGGAGAGAGAGAGAGAGAGAGAGAGAGAGAGAGAGAGAGAGAGAGAGAGAGAGAGAGAGAGAGAGAGAGAGAGAGAGAGAGAGAGAGAGAGAGAGAGAGAGAGAGAGAAGAGAGAGAGAGAGAAAGAGAGAGAGAGAGAAAGAGAGAGAGAGAGAAAGAGAGAGAGAGAGAAGAGAGAGAGAGAGAGAGAGAGAGAGAGAGAGAGAGAGAGAGAGAGAGAGAGAGAGAGAGAGAGAGAGAGAGAGAGAGAGAGAGAGAGAGAGAGAGAGAGAGAGAGAGAGAGAGAGAGAGAGAGAGAGAGAGAGAGAGAGAGAGAGAGAGAGAGAGAGAGAGAGAGAGAGAGAGAGAGAGAGAGAGAGAGAGAGAGAGAGAGAGAGAGAGAGAGAGAGAGAGAGAGAGAGAGAGAGAGAGAGAGAGAGAGAGAGAGATTACACCATGATAAACATAACTTGGTGCAATCTTCCGATGACTAACTGTCATAAAAGTTTCGAGAGAGAGAGAGTTCGATATGATGGATAACACAATATACAGAAATCATAAAAAGATATTTACTGATGGCTCCAAAATAGAAGAAGTCAGTTTGAAGATAAAAACATCACAGCAATGTGGAAATTACTAAGAGAAACCCTGATAATAGAGGCAGAGCTACTCTGCATTCAAAACACAAACCCAAAGAAATACAAAAACATAATATTTAAAATACATTCAATAATTTTAAACCAACCAGAAAATAAACATAAAACAATAATACAGTGGATAAAAGCACCCAAAAATATAAAAGGTAACGAAATAGTTGACCTTGCAGCAAAAACCGCACGTAATATAAATTAAACTTTTAACATAACTTAAGATATATCAAATGTAATAAAAGAAATTAAGAATAAAAGCCATAAGAAGTGGAAAGAATATTTACATAATACCCTAAACACAAAAAATTACTATTTAAAAAACATCAGTCCTCAACCATGGACAAGATCCAAAAATAGAAAAGTAGACACATGTATAACAAGAATAAAAACAAAACACACCAGACTAAAACACCATCTACACAGAATAAAAATTGAAACCTATCCATTTTGCAGATGGTGTTATAATCAAGATGAAACGTGGAACATCTATTTCTTCATTGCCCAAGATTTAATTCAAAGAGTGTTACTTCTGGAAGTATTAAAAAAAAAAATCATCAATCCAAATGTAAAACAACTGACTCCTGGAGAAGATCTACTAGAAAATCAGAAGTTCTACATACTAAGACATACCAAAATATTCCTACAAAAAACAAAAATCATAGATATGATATAAAAAGAAAGAATCAAGAAAAGGTTTCAGGGGATATAGACAAAAAAGTGTCTTAAATCTTATAAAAGAAGAAGAAGAAGAAGAAGTGCTCTGATGGTTACGTCATCATGATGTGATCAGTGGCTCAGGTCATATTACAGAAAATTGAACATTATGAAAAAAAAATTAAGTGACACAAATAACTAAATGTTGCTTATCATTATCATTCTTGCACTGAGTTATGAACTATCTAGATAGATGATAAGGAGCTTGTGCAAGGAAAGCTGTCCATTACCATCTAGATAAGGCAAATCAAATGACAGATATGGAAAATAGCAAAAAAGCTAAAAATGCTTGTGCAGAAAAAGAGAGAGTAACAGTTTTGTCACCACACATGAGTGTTCATGTGCCCCTGGCCTACAAGACACAAACCCATTGGAGTGGTTGATCAAGTAAGCCTAATTTAAATATTTTGGGCCATGTGATGGCAGCAGAGTATCCGGATCGAATGGATTAAACAATCACAAAAACTATAGTATTGAAGAAATCAAGA